CGGTGGCGACGGAAGGCGTTCTGCCGTTTTCGGCCTGCGGGGGCGACGACGACAGCGGGGACGCAGAGGGCGGGGACGCGGCCGCCTCCCCCTCACCATTCGTTCCTTCTCCCCACGCCTCCCTCCTTCCAAGTCCTCCCTCCTCCCCGGTCCTCCCTCCTCCACATCCTTTCTCCTTCGTTTCCTCCTCTTCCTGCGAAGCGGACGAAGGCGTCCCTGGCAGAACCGCGAGTGCGCAGATCTGCGGTGGCTGGCAGGAGGGGCGATGCGCGTCCAGCCCCACACGCGCTGCTCCGAGGCCCTCTTCATCGGGTCCTTTCAGGCCGCCGCGCTCCGCGAGGCCGCACACACTGAGTGTGGTTTGGCTTGGAGCGGAGGCATCAGTATGGCTCGAGAGACAGACAGACGGAGGGAGAGCAACAAAAAGCATAAGCATACATTGTTGGAGCTCCGCACGGAGTTCTTGGATGGGCGCCCCTGGCGCACTCCGCGCGCCAGGGAGGGGGGGATCCAGCGCCGATCCCCGAAATCCGCGCGGAGCCGCGAAGGTCTATCTTCGTGTAGCGCTGCCTTCTGGGCGACGTGCAGCGAGCACCTCACGCCCCGAGCCGCCTGGGCCAACGCTCTGCGTCACCTTCTCGGGCCTGGGTGAAAGTGCGGGGATCCGCCGCGGCGGCGGAGGAGCGCCCGGGCAGGCCCTCGAGGCCTCGAGCTTGTGCGCGGTCTCGGGCGTCGGGCGGGGCGCTGGGCTGCACTGCCCGGCACTCTTTCGGACGCCCCAGGCGAAGGACAGCCTCGGCACCGCACTCGAAGAAGAAACAGCGGCATAAGCACAAGCTGTTGGCGCTCCGCACGGATGTCTTGGATCCGCGTTGGGGCCTCCTGACGGCGCCTCCAGCGCCGCCCCTGGCGCGCTCCGCTCGCCAGGGAGGGGGGCCCAGCGCAGATCCAAGTAATCCGCGCGGAGCGCCAAAAGTTTGTGTTTATGCCGCTGCTTCTTCTTCTTCTTCTTCTTTTTCTTCTTCTTCTTCTTCTTCTTCTTCTTCTTCTTCTTCTTCTTATTATTATTATTATTATTCTTCTTCTTCTTCTTCTACGCACTGCGGAGCGCAACACCCAACGACGATGAGCCCGAATAGCAGCTCGGCGCCGACAACTGAGCCAGCGCAGCAGGCGCCGCCAGTGGCCGAGACCCGCGCTTTCAAAAGGCCGCGACCTTTGCGGGTCGAGCGATCTCCACGCTGCCTCAGAAACCTGTCGGCACGGTACGAACCCGACGTGCCCGACGCCCCACCCGACGCGCGCACCGACGCCATACCCGACGGGACACGCCCCAGACCTAAAGTGAGAGCAGTTGTTCGATGATACTTCGAGTAGTAGACCGAACTCAGGTCTCTGGAAGTGGTAGAGCGAAGCTACTGGCCGTACTCGCGCGCGCGAACAGGCAGAGCCCTGAACCCGCCCTCCAGATCGAGACTTCGGTCGAAAGCTGTTCGATCGAGCCACAGCGGCCCGGCGATGCTTGGCCTCTGGCGGCCGGCTTCGGGCCCCGAGGCCGGCAGAGAACGACTCGGGATCCGCAGCGCTGGCCCTGGGGAAGGCTGGCATCGCTCGGACGTGTGCATTTTTTTCTCGGCGAGGACCCTGGAGGAGCACCCTGGACCATCGAGCCAAAACAAAGCACGCGCGAAGCCGACAAATGCGCGGGAAATGGACGTCCGAGCGACGGCAAGGGGAGGGCTCGAGAGGTCGGCGGGCCGCCGCCGCCGGGGCCGCTCGCGGGGCCTCCAGAGGCTGCCCGTGCCCCAAGGGGGGTGTGGCAGCCTTGCCGGGCGCCCCTCGGCACGGTCTGTGCGCGCCGTGCTCCGCCGCGGCGGTGCCCCCCGGATCCGGGCGGCGGCGCGTCGGTGCTCGAGGGCTCAATGTGGCTTCTTCTGGAAGCAGGAGGGGGAAAAACACACACACACACACACAGACACACAGACACACACACACACACAGACACACAGACACAATGAAGTGTGGATTCCCCCGAAAGTATGGGAAAATATGGGAAGTAGGGGGGGGGAAGACAAAAAGCCCAGGAAATATGGGGACACATGGGGAGTCCTCTCATTTGTGTGCATCTCTATGTGTGTGTGTGTGTGTCCTTGGGCCCCTCGATGGGAGGCCTGCGCCGAGGCCAGGCCCGCGGCCAGGGGCCAGAGCGCGGCAGTGGCCGCAGCTCGAGCGAGGAACGACATGCACAGTACACCTGTCCTGGGGCCAGGGTCGGTGCAGACTCGGCGACCACAGGGGTGTGGTTACTTTATTAGTGAATGTAATTTGTTTTAGGGTTTTAACAAATGGTCGCAGCCACGCAGAGGGCGTGCGTAGCAACGCCCCAAATGCTCGATCTCCAGCACTTCTACGTGGCGGCGCCCCCGCAGGCACGCAGAGGGCACGCGTGGCGACGGGGGCGTCGCCACGCAGAGCTTCTGAAGGCCAAACATTTTGAAAACCAATTGTTTCCACTACTAAAGTACGCCGGGGTGTGGCTTGCGATCTGCGTCGGTTGAGGCTTGGGGGGGGCGCCACGTTGCCCTCGCCAAACCTCCTCGGGGCGCGGCGGAGAACTCCGTCCAAGGTCCTCGCCCGCCCCCCACGGGTGCGGGCTGCAAGCCACGCCCTCTGTAAACCACGCCGAACTTCGGAGTCGCCGACACGTGGCCTCCCTTGCCGAGCCAGGGTGGCATGTGCACCGAGGCTGCCCAGGATGGGCCCGTGGCCAGGATCGCGCTCCGCGCGCCAGGGAGGGGGGGCACAGCGCCGGTGCAAGAGATCCGCGCGGACCTCCGAGAGTTCTACGTTCATAACAGTATCCAGCTGCCTGCGGCAAGTCCCACCACTGCGCCTGCCGGGCATTCTGAGTGGCGACTGGTCGAGGGCGGGATGTCCGCGATGAGGAGGCTGACGATGACTATCAGGAGGAGGAGGAGGAGGAGGGGGAGGATGGTCAAGATCAAGATGAGCATGAGGATGGTGAGGAGTATGATGATAACATTGACGATGATGTTGATGATGATGATGACGACGAGAATGATGAGGAGGAAGAGGAAGAGGAAGAGGAAGAGGAAGAGGAAGCGGAAGAGGAAGAGGAAGAGGAAGAGGATGGTGGTTGTGGTGGTGGTGACGATATTTACAATGAGGATGATGATCGTGATGCCGATTATGTTGTTGCTGCTCCTGATGACGAAGATGATGCTGGTGATAATGATGATGCTGGTGTTACTGATGCGGGTGCTGCTGATTATGATAATGATGAGGATGAGGATGAGTACAAGGATGAAGGTCAGGATCAGGATGATGGTAATGATGATGATGATGATGATGATGATGATGATGATGACGATGACGATGACGATGACGATGACGATGGTGATGATGATGGTGATGATGACGATGACGATGACGATGGTGATGATGTTGATGATTATGATGGTGATGGTGATGTGGATGTGGATGATGATGGTGATAAGAATGAGGATGCTGATGAGGATGAGGATGATGATAGAGGGTGAGGATGCGGATGAGGCTGAGGCTGAAGCTGAGGCTGATGATGATGATGATGATGATGATGATGATGATGGAGGTGATGATAATGACGGAGGTGATGTTGATGATGCTGAGTATGATGATGTTGATGATGATGGTGGTTGTGATGATGATGATGTTGGTGGTGGTGATGGTGATGGTGATGGTGATGGTAAGGATGATGCTGATGATGATGATAGTGATGATGATGATAATAATGATGAGGATGATGATGATGATAGTGATGATGATGACGAGGAGGAGGAGGAGGAACAGGAGGAGGAGGAACAGGAGGAGGAGGAACAGGAGGAGGAGGAAGAGGAATACCGTGACATGGGACACCTTCCGTCTTCTTTATTTGTGGATGTCTCATGGAACTTGTTTAATGCCGTCTGGGGGCTATCTTGACCTCCTGTGGGCTTTGTCTTGGGGGTCCTTTGGGGCCCTCTTGGGGGCTCTCGTATTGCGTCTTGTCTCGTTGGTAGTCTTGGGGTCCTCTTGGCCGTATGGTCGGTATCTGGGGGCCGTCGCGGGGCCGCCTTGGACAAGGCCTTCTAAGGCCGTCTTGGATGGGCTATCGCGCGACCTCTGGGACCATCTTGGGACTCTCCTGGGGGCCTCCTGGGCCGCCTTAGGGCCAGCGTGAGGCTTCTTGGGCGCCGTCTTGAGCTGACGGAAGCATCAAATCGCGAGAATGCTAAGTTTTGCTGCAACCATGGAAAATCAATGGTTGCGGTTTTTGGGGACCTTGTTGGAGGTCCTCTTGCCATCCTGATGTCTCTGGTTGCTTGCGTGAACCGTCTTGGAAGTTCGGGACGCGGATCCATCGCATTTATCGAAGGATCGTGGTCTCGGGAGCGCGGATCGATTCTGTCATTCACGAGGAATCGTAACCTCGGGAAGGGGGGCAGTACATGCAGGGACATGCTGGTGGGGGGGATCCCGTGTTAGAATCCTGAAACCCTACCAGAGCCCTTGGCGTTCTGCCGCGCCTTCCGCGTGCACAGGGCATGGTGGCCAGCTTTGTTGTTAAGTTGGGCGTGTCCCTCTACAGGAGGAAAATTCAGAAATTGTCAAGAAATAAATTGTTGTTCTTTTTGTCATGGTTGAGCATGTTTTGAATATGTTTGTTTCTTCCCCAATCTGCCTGCAGGGGGACGTGCCCGACCTAACTTCTGTGCTCGCCGACTGCAGTGCCCGTTGCAGCTCTGGGCCCGTTGCCGCTCGGGGTCTCCCGCGTCCGCTCCGCCGCCTCCCCCCCCCCCCCCCCCCGGGGGTGCCCGGGGGGGAGCTGCGCGCCCGCGCAGGTTCGCGCAGCGGTGCCACGAAGTGCGCGACGTCGAGCTCGAGCGGCTGCCCCCGCCCCCCCCTCTCGCGAGCAGCGGGCACGTCCGCACCCGCGCCCTCGCGGTCTGGACTCGGGGGCGCGATGCCGCGGAGGCGCGGGCGCACGGAGGCGCTCCGCGCGGAGGCGCTCCGCGCGGGAGAGCCGCCCTGTGTCCACGGGGTCGCGGCCCAGGGGCCCGGCCCGCGAGGCCGACATGTTTGTCGCCCATATGGCCCTCCCGCCCGCGATCGGGTGTGCACGCCACCATGTCTGACGGAAGGGCAGCAGAAGCAAGCAGAGGTACAATGCCCAGAAAGAGGGCAGAGTAGTGTTCAGAGAGTGTTGCGTGGTTATTTGGGGAGGGTACGAGGTGAAGAAGGAGGAAGAAGAGGATGCATCCTCTTGGAGGACATGCCTGGCCTCCCGAAGGGCCTTCGGACCTCCTGGAGAGCCTGGTGAGCCTCCTTGCGAGTGCCAGCATTTCGATGATGGTGACGTTCATCCCTAAGGGTTCCAGATTGCAGAATTTCCATGATTACCGTGCCTTCCACGACCTTGCAAGTCAAAGGGTTGGAGGTGGCGAATCGATTGTAATTGAGACTGCGTGTTCTTGGTGATGGGTGTGCGGCGCGGCCTGCCATTTCCTTCGAGGGGTTGTGTGGCAACCCCACAGCGGCGCATCCTGCGCGCGAGCTCGCAAGCGGGCTGCGCTTCCGGTCATCATTTCCCAGCCATCCTGTGTTGTCGTGTGCCCCCATTGTTCTTCCCGCTGTGCCGAGAGTCTCCCCTCCCGCTGCCTCATCTGCCCGCCGTTGCTGCTGCGCTGCCTGCTTCACCGCTGTCCCGCCGCTGCTGCCGTCCCTTGTCGATCGGCTGCGCAGGGCGAGGGTATCCTGCCCATCCCCATTCTCCTCCTCCGCCTCCTCCTCCTCTCCTCCTCATCCACCTCCTCCTCCTCCTCCTCCTCCTCCTCCTCCTCCTCCTCCTCCTCCTCCTCCTCCTCCTCCTTCGCATCTTCATCCATGTCGCCCTCCCTCCTCCGTGGCCGCCGGGTCCCCCGGCCTTCTGCTCAAGCTTCGGGTGCAGCGCCTCCGCCCGGCAGTCCCCCAGTTCTGCCGGGCTCGGAGGATTCCTGGCCGCGCGGGCGAAGATTCCGGGGAGGGCCAGAGTTCTTCATAGCCTCGAGGCCAAGTGCCACCTGCGGGCAGAGCGTCCTCCAAACCCTCAGCGGTGACCTGCGCGACTCATGGGGCTGCCGCGTTTTCCGCATTGTCCTTTATCCTTTCCCCCAAAAAAGTTCTCGTCGCGCCTCACGGGGCACAGGCGGGCGAACGCCGAACGCTTCTGGGTCTCAGAGTATCACTCACTTCGCATGCTTCACGGCGGCTTGGCAAATCTTGACGTCGAGAGGTGTGCCTAGCCGCTAGCTGAGCTGAGCTGAGCCGTGACTTTAAAACCTTCCTAAGACTCCTAGCCTCCTGAATAACCGCCATCACCACCTCCCAGAGAAGCTAAAGTGTCAGGTTTTCGTTCCTAGCGCGCCGCTGCCGACTTTTAGCTCCCCAGCACTTGCGTGGTGAGGCCACGTGGACGTTCTACTGAGCAATGCGATACTCAACCCTAAAAATTGTTTCTTGCCCTCTTAGGGATTCAGGGAGTTATTCTGCAATGTGGTGCGCCTCATCATGCGTGACGGGAGCGGGCGTGGGGCCACCTGCGAGAAGCTTGGGGAGGGCAGCCTGGTAAGTTGGTGAGGCGTGGGCAACCCACTCCCGCCCGCGAGCAGGTGAGTACCACGCGGCTGCAGGCGCCTCCCTGGGAAAGCGGGTTGGGGAGATACGTCCTTTGGATGTCTCTCGTGGCACGTGGTCAACAAATGCCTTCCAGAGATGCCAAGCGTGCCTTTTCACATGGCTGACGTGAAGCATCGTGCGATGGCGTGCCATGAGCGCCAGATTGCGCATAGTTGGCGAGCGAATCCGACCGTGGCGGCGATAGCCCATGCAGAACGCAGAGAACAGTTAATGAATCATTCACGACCAATACGTTGGAGGAAAGTCTCGAGATGTGAAGACAGATCACAGACCAGTATGCCGCGACGTACTCCGTGCCGGTGCTGTCGTCCTTTGGCGTCGTTGTTGGTGGAAGATGGGTTTGCGGCATGAGCCCGTTCCACTGTCCTGCATAAGTAGGCTAGCCCCTTCTAATCAGCCAGAACAAATACCATCCGCCAGGCGGCGGACTCCTCGTTATAGTGCACAGGAACTTGTCAGAGAAAACGCGAATCTTGTCCCAGGAGCCATCCTTCGGGGGGGCAAATACTGAGGATAACGCATATGGGCGATTGTCGAGGAAGTGGGTACTTCACTTCCGCCTGGCTTCGTGGTCTGTCCTCAAGTGCCCGACCTGCTCCGCTTTCACGCAAGCTCGCAGGTTCCACAACAGAAAGCGAAAAAGAAGCAGGAGCCTGGGGAATATTCACATGATAAGAGGGCCTCGTCAGACCATCTCTCTGCGCGGTGGAGGAGGGACAACTCTTGAATTCGTGAGCCCGCTGCCTGGCGACAGCGCACATGGAGAAACTGCACAGCTGACCAAATGCGAAAGGGCTGACTCATTGCTAAAACTGGATGCGTCCAGCTCAGATTGGACGCGAAAGCATCCGCACAAATCATAGGCTTGGCGTCCCCAAACCCCAGTGGATCAACACCTCCCTCCGTCTACACACGTTTTGGGCACCTGAAAGATGCACATCGCCACCTCCGCGCACCAAGCTGCGAGCAAGGCTGCATCATCTTGTTGTGTCATCTTGTTTCCAGGTTATACTGCTGAGAGGCATGGGGGAGCAATCAAGCTGTCTTCCGGAGCTGCTCTGGAAGCTGTTCCTGTCGGTTGAGCGCGATGGTTTGGAATATCCGTCGCACGGAGTCGGGGGCTTCCTCGCGGGCCCGTCCACACCAACATGGATGGCGACATTATGAGGCAATATTGCGATGCCATGAATTAGTTTAGCTACTGGACATCTGCACGGCGATCCAGGCCAAAATTTCCAAGGCGACTTCGCTCCGAGGCAATGCTGTCCTCCTCCTCCTCCTCGCCCTCCTCCAGGGGCGTATATACTAAAGAGGTCCTCCTCCTCCTCCTCCTCCTCCTCCTCCTCCTCCTCCCCCTCTTCTCCCATATCGCTGCGCGATCGGGCAGCAGAGTCTCCAGAGTCTCCATCCCTTCTCCCTCCTCCTCCCCCTCTGCTCCCCGTCCTCCCACCACCACCCCCCTCTCGCGCACCGCGCCTGCCGGAGCCCCCCGCGACGGCACACTCTCGACGTCCCTCCGCCCTCTCAGTGCCCCCCCCCCTCCCGGGGGCGCGCGCAGGGCCGCTCACAGCCGCCTCTTCGTGTGGTGCCTGAACATCTGCAGCGGCGTCACGGGGCGCGCGCGCCGCCGCCGCCTTCCAGCAAACGCGCGCGCGGCCGCGGCCGCGGCCGCCGTCTCTCGGGAGCCGCGCCGCGAGGAAGTCACGACGTCGGGCGTCCGGGGACCTTTAAGGGGCCCTTTGGGGGGCCCTGTCTTCACCCCGCTGGCCTGCAGAGCCCTGCAGGGCCTCCTAGGAGTAGCGGGGAGGAGAAGGAGGAGGAGGAGGAGGAGGAGGAGGAGGAGGAGGAGGAGGAGGGGAGGGGGGGGGAGGAGGAGGAGGGAGGGGGGGGGAGGAGGAGGAGGAGGAGGAGGAGGAGGAGGAGGAGGAGGAGGGAGGAGGAGGAGGAGGAGGAGGAGGAGGAGGAGGAGGAGGAGGAGGAGGCGGGGGGGAAGAGAGGAGTTCGAGGGCTGGGGTCCAGTCTTACGTCCGCGGCACTTCAGGGACTCTGGGACGTCTCCTGGGGGCTTCTGGGGGCCCCGCGGGGCCCCACCGACAGACGCCCAGAGACCGCGCAGACATGTCCTTGTCCCTCCTCCTGCGCCACGCAGAAAATCTTGCGCCCAGCGAGGGCCCCTCCGGCAGCACTGCAGGAGAGGGGGCAACCCAGACATGCCCGCGTCGTGAGAGATCATGACGGCGCCAGTTGTTGGTCGTGCTCGGCCCCTGGGGGCCCGCCCTCGTCGGGCCTGGGTCGGACGGGGATGAAGAGGTGGCCTTTGGGAAAGGGTCGGGATTTCAGGGGGGCCCGCATTGAAGAGGACGAGGCACCGCACGTCTGGGAGCTTCCCGCCTCCCGGCAACAGGGGCCAGCCCCTCTTGAGATCAGGCAGGCCGACCGCACTTTCTTGCCAGTGGAAGGGTGTAGCGACGGCTTCGAGTAAGATTGTGGACGAATGCGGTTCGAGGCAGCGACGAAGCTGGCTGCATGCGGCAAATGTAAGTCTTGGTCGAGAAGTTGTTCATGATATAGACGCAAGCGTTTGGAACTCCATGCGGAGCTCCGAAAGTGTTGTATAGAGATTGTCTTCCTCTACTCGCCTCACTATGCACCGAGTGTTGGCTGCGACGTTCACGGTTTTCTTGCGCTGCTGCTCTGAGTTTTGGGCGGCCCCGCTCGCTTGTCATGGTAGCTCGCCGCCCACCCCTCTCATCAGCAATCCCCATCCCCACTGGGCTATGGTATCACGACCCCGCCAGCCCCTCCACATAGATTCGAAGAGTCGCGGTATCAGCATAAATTGTCGGAGGTCCGCGCGGATATCTTGGATCGGCGCTGGGGCCCCCCTGGCAGCTTCCGGCGCCGCCCTTGGCACGCTCCGCGCGGCAGGGAGGGGGGCCCATTGCGGATCTAAGAAGTCAGCGTGGACCTCCGAAAGTTTCTGCTTATGTCGTTCTCTGTTCCTCCCCGCGACACCCGAAGGAGCACGCATATATCCCCACCCAGATGGGTAGGTCGGCCAGTGAGGCCAAGGCCGCGCCAGCTGGGATAGGGATCGGTCAGACGATGTTCAGCTCGTTGGTACCAGCTCTGCTGCCAGGGGCGCGGGTGCGGGTCGACTCCTCCCCCGCACCCATGCCGCCGAGACGCCCCGCTCCCAGACATCTGACGTCGTATGTTCTTCCCGGGATGTGCCCCCCCAGAGGTTTGGACCCCCTTCCCCTGGGGACCGGCGTTGCATCCCGATCGGTTTGTTCTCGGGGGCCCCCATACGGTGCGGTGGCCATACCCTGCGTGGTGAGTCGGTGGGGCTTTGGGGCGGCCGCCCGGCTTCGGGACTTTGGGCCGTTGTGCCCCAGGATGTCCCGGACGACTTGGGCCCCTGGGGTCCACCAGTCTGGACTATTTAAGATCTCGACAGGGACCTGGACGCCAAGATCCTGCTGCTCGTTCTGTTCCGCCCCCGCGGAAGGTCAGGGAGAGCCCGCACAGCCTGCCGCCGAAGCCTTCCGGGGGGGCCCGGAGCTTTTCTTTTGCGGCGGCGCAGGGGGCCGCCCGACGAGGGCCCGCGGAGGCCGCGAACCTCGCGAGGGCCCCGTCGGGGCTCTCTGTGCACGACGCGCGGGGGCGCCGGGGCTGCGGCCTCCCCGCCCCGCCGGCGCGCGCGCCAGGCTGACGAGCTTCGCGCTCTTCGTGCGGGTGTACTCCGACTGGCGCGAGGGAAGGATCGGCGCCCCCTCGCGCCGACCTCTCCGGAGGGGACAGAACGCACACACACACACACACACAGACAACCAGTCGTCGATTCCCAGGAGAGTATGGGACATGTGGGAAGAGCGGGGTGGGGACGACAGAGGCCCAGGGAGCACGGGAGAGGGGGGGGAGCCCTGGGAGCCTTGCGTGCGTATACCTGTGCGTCCCTGGGCCCCATTCGGCCTCTCCGTCTCTTTCTCCCTTCCTCTCCCCCTGCCGGTGCGGGGGGAGAGCGGGACGGGCGGAGGCATGGAGCCGTGACGCCCTCGCGTCGTTGCGATTTTCGACGCTCGAGGTCGCCCTCTTTGGGCCTCCTTGGGCGACCTCGTCGCCACTGGTGGATCCGCTCCTCCTCCTCCTCCT